GCAGGTCGTTGGTGGTGGAAATATTATGTGCATTCAAGTGGAGTTCTAAGGGCATGTGCACCTATATAATTTTCCATTTGTATGTTTGATAGCTTCAACAAATGTGATATGAATAAGTTTAGGTATAAGTGAAAATAGTGTTATAAGAGGCATATGGTAAATATGATCAAGCAGAGGTGTAAGTGGAAATAAAGTTAAAAGGGGGTGAATTGAAAATATGAACAAATAGAGTTATAATTGAAAGTGAAGACATAGTAAGACACTGAAAAAATATTAAATATTTAAAATAAACATCATATATTATTTCCTTTAATTTCATATAATTGTATTCCTCACATCATATTCAAAAGAACACTAATGTTGTTATTTCTAATATATATACCTATTGCTAACACATATTTGATAGTTATAAGATATGATATAAGTATCATGTTAGTTTACTATGAACATGTTTTATTGTTCATACAATGTTATACTAATATACAAGTTATTTTATATGTATATTGAATTCTATAATAGGTTTTAAGTAACCTGCTAAGCAAGTGCTGTTCACTCCTATTTTATTTTCATATATTAATTTCTGAAAAAGATAAGATTTTTATTAGTAGATATTTCTGATATCAATTAGGACCCAAATTAGATATGTTTACTTTACATACACGTTATTTTGACGGTCATGATAAATATATATTATTGAGTAGAAAGAGAGATTTGACCATGATTGTTGAGTATACCAATCACAATTTTTTGTCTTATATAGTAAATAAAAGAATATTGTTATTGTTATTACTATCTATTTGATGATATAGAAAGGCTCTATATTTTTAAACATTAAAGACAAAAATATGTATAAGAAAAAATTTCGTCTAACCAGATATTGGGACATAATAGATTGTTCCATGTATGATGTAAAGGAAGATATTTATGCATGTTCTCAAGTTGAACAACTTCAACAGGTAGTTGATCCTGAGGGAAGTCGGTCTCTTGACGCTACGTCTGTGCTAGTTCTCGAGTCCTCCATATGAGATGAAGGGTTTCATTATCAGATTTTTCTAATTTGAGAATGTAACTGTTTAGGGACAAATCTAATGAACCCTTAAGCTTGTGGAAGTAGAAAGTGGCAAAGGCATGCATGGAGTCCTTAGTTTAAGGAGCAGTCAATATACTGATGAGTGATGAAGCACTGAAGTAGGATGCTTTGTTGTTGGGACTATTATGCCTATTAGCTATAAAATAGGTGTTCATACGGCTTACAATAGTTGAATTATTCTCATATATGATGTCAAATTATTACATGCTAATAATTTCACCGGAGTAGTATGAGAGAGTATTATACTCTAACTTTATATGAAGATCCCACACATAAAAAGATGAGTGAAATTAGCAAAATAGTTTTTATGTTAAAACTCAAGGGCAAAACGACAGGGTCCAACCAAAATACTTTCCTTTAGTAGTGATTACAAATATACTCATCCTCCTAAAATTGAGAAAGCATGATTATAAGAGTTTGAGTTGTTGGTAAAATATATTATAGTGTCGGTATAGGATGAGAGGTAATCGGATGGTTGCGGTGGAGGGATGACAATACGACAATGGTGTGGTCATGGTGATGATAAAGGTTGGACATAAGTGGTCCTAAGTAAGAGGTCGAGCACCAGTAATCTAAAGATCAATATGGAGATCGAGCTGCAACAATTTGATAATGTTACATCCAACGACAACCCTTATCTAAGATAGAAGTCGGAACATAATGGTCCTACAAATGGTAGTCATCTGATGGCAAAAATGTTGGACAGCAATGGATAGGTGGTGATCAAGTAATGTTCTGATGACAATCGAGTTGTGATCCAACAATAGAGGTCAAGCGGTGGTTTGATAGTGGTGGTCCAACAATAATGGTTAAGTGGTGGTTTGACAATGGCGGTCTGACGTACGATGATTATTGGGCAAGGTCTTATGACGGCAATCGAGTGGGGTTTGAAAGTGGGCTCTTATGGCAATTGTCCAAAGACAATGGTTAGGTGGCCTAATTGATCCTACAACGACGGTAAGACGATGGTCTAACAATTGTGCTATGAAGGAGCTATTGGAGTTTTTGAGAAGTTGACCTCTCTTCAATCTCAGAGGATGGGCGATGATTATATAGAAAGCGGAGATTTATTTTTGAGAATGAAAATAAAAAATGAATGCAAGCATATATTGACAAATTAAAAACTCGAATGAGCTTAATATAAACTCACAACATGCGTGCTCAAACACAACTATTTACATGCCTATGACTACTTAGTATAATTAACTTGTAGATATGCTTTTGGCATATAAAATAAAATTTTCATTCTCCCAAATAAAAATATGAATTACTAAATAACTTACTAATATGCATATGCAATCACATATTATAAAAATTTATGCATATAAATCAGAATTCTTTTTCGAATAATTATATATGCGCTATAAAAGCAAAATCGATGAGAGCTTAGGCAATTCAAAAACCAAAGGAACCGTAGGCTATTCAAAATTAAGTATTTGCCACTGAAAGGGCTAACCAAAACTAAGAAACCTTTCTTATTCAACATGCAATGAGCACTGAAAATAACAGGAGATATCTCCTGCTTCTTCTTCTTCATTTATCTCCACGGATGCTTCTTCATTTATCTCTCCCGCTTCTTCTTCATTTATATATTCGGCTTCTTCTTCTTCATTTATCTCTTCGGCTGCTTCTTCATTTATCTCTTCGGCTGCTTGTTCATTTATTTCTCCTTCTTCTTCTTCATTTATCTCTTCGGCTGCTTCTTCGTTTATCTCTCCTGCTTCTTCTTCATTGAGCTCTTCCGCTTCATTTTCATCTATGGATGACGACGAAGTCGAAGCTGAGCGATCACCTGACCAACTACCATTTGCTATACTTGCATTTTTTGCTTTTAACTCTCTATAAACAGACATTAGAGCTTTCAAAGCATCCTCAATTGTTCTATTTCCTTTCATCATCTCTTCCCTCACAGCCTCAGAGCAGATTCCACAAAGCCATTTCTCCTCAAAGTTAGCCTTCACCTGGCTTATGTATTCATGAGTGCATTTTTCTTTAAATCCACAGCAGTCACAGTATACTGAAACGACCTTCTCCATGATCAAATGGGTTTGTAAGGGAGCTTTGAGAAGGTGATGTGGTAAGGGAGAGGAGAAGCTTTTTAAAGATGCAATTGCCTTCTTGGCTCAAGGGAGAGTGTTTATCGTCCAAAACAGGAATGCGAATGAGGTGGGGGTTAGGAGTTAATGCAAATTTGTAGAGTGGATGAATTGAATAATGATAATTTTGTTAAAAAGCTGAAATTATAGTAGTTATTATTGAACTAAATAATATTTTGATATATGACTCCTTGTATATAAGTAATTGAAGAGGCCAATAAATAAAGATATCCATAATAATGATGATATAATATAATAATAATAATAATATGAATTCCTACTATAATTAGTAGAAACATTCTAATCTTTATATGGTAACAAATTATTTCAATAACTTTAATAAATTCATCCTTAAATATTAAAGTTATATGGTATATGGTAAAATATAAAAATATATTCATGAACAATATGTTTATAAAGGCAAATATTGCACTTTAGCCCATGTTATATGATTGAAATTAAAAAATTTTAGGGTAATATTTTTAGACATTTTAGGATACATTGCTTCTCAGGCCTTCAAACTTTAAGTATGTGATAATTAGTGTTGTTGTGAAAGCACATGATTGAGTGGAAACTGTTTGTTTTATTTTTGGTGCAGTGCATACGTGATTCTTCTCGATCGGGTCATTAGTTTAAACAATACACACATTTTACACTTAGTTAATTTTCCACGTCGTATCACTTCTCATAGGTTGGACATAGTTCCCATCTCTTGATCTTATTCATATTAATTTACTAGTCCATCTTTGATACTATAGCATATGTTAATAGAATATTCTCCTAGTTGTGTAAAACACATTCACAGTAGAGAGACTTAGGTTAGACTAAATAAATATTATGCCAATTCCTAACCATTCTATGATCTAAACTATCTCAATCACCATACATTGAACATAACATCCCTATGCTTTCCCAAAGACTACCCTCACAGATCTAAGACTCCTCAGACTTGGCCTGGACTAGTCCTTGACCCAATGGGTTTCCTAGCTACCTAGTAGTTAACCTAAGTAGTATCCTCTTGATCATAGGCTAGCTTGATCTATCCTTCATCAAATATTATAAGATTCATTATCATGATTCAGGACCTTAGGGACCAACCTATGTTGTCATAGGTCAACCAACTTGGCCTCATGTCAACCATAGGTTTAATACTCCCAAATTTAGTCAAATATATGCCACCTCATGATTAGATTTCTAGTTGTAACCCAATATAAGGCTAACATAGCCCTTGGGATCCCTTGGTACTTGACCTCTAGGATCCACTTATGTCCAATTAGGTCAACCTAAGGCTATCTAGTCAACTAGGTGTTGATTAAATTTTTTTAGTCAATTAATTAGGTTAATTTATTAATTATAAGGCAACATAGGTTGGCCCATGCAGATCATTAGGATCGATCCTTAGGACATACCCAACTTCTCAAGGCCCATTTTGTTGATTAATCTAGTCAACCTTGCTTGGTTGGCCTAATTGATTATGCCTAATGCGACCTAGCCTAGTCGAAAACCTAGGACCTAACATTCTACACTCACTAGATACCCACTTAGTCAACCGATCTAGGATAACCCAAACCCACTTAGTAAACCTTACGTTCTCATGTATTAATTTAAGTTAATTAAATATTAACTTAGTTGAGCTACCTCCAATGCTTCCATTGGAGAATTGAACTACATCTAAAATTATTGAAAATTGAACCTAAACATCCACCAAAAGCAATGTACCCTTGATCACCAGCAGGAGGTCACATATGCTAGGTAGTAAAGAGATAGGAAATGAACATCTATAGTTGAATCTCATAATCGAGATTGTTAGCATTTAATTCCTCTGTTTGTATTATATTTATGTTAATACCTTTGTATCTCTATATATAGACCGTTATTGTACTCATAATGAGATGAGTTTTCCTTTTCTCCTCTTCAATGTTCAGTTCTCCGTTTTCTCTCTGTTCTCACCGTTCTTGCTAAACGTCTCACATGGTATCAAGAGTCATAATGGGAGATCAATTTCCCAATCTATCCTACCATATATTATCTCCTCTACCACCACTCCCGCGTTATATAGACCGCTATTGTACTCAAAAGATCTTCCCATGCAACAATATCTTGTTCAAATCAAACCCATCGTCGATAACATTTCTACCTCCGGATCAAAAATTGATCTAGAAGACATCATACATAACATTCTCAATGGCTTACCTCCAACCTACAATTCTTTTAAAACCACCATCTGCAACTCCCTTCTCCCCATCGATCTTGTCACTTTCTACTCCCTTCTTTGCAATGAGGAGATTCACCTACAACAAGAACCTATTTAAGATCAAGCAGCAGCAGGATCGGCAGCAACTGCCTTTTACGCCACCTCCTCCAATCAATCTCGCGGGAGAAGCCAAAAACGGTTTACCAAGAACAAGAACCTGCAGGCTCCACCTAGCACTCCCGCCTATCAGCTCACTCTGTCCGCCTCTCCCACCTCGGCCAGGCCAACCTGCCAAATTTGTGGAAAAATCGATCACATAGCACTAAATTGTTGGCATCATTGCAACTTCAAGTATGCCCCCACTGCTTCAAGACCTCCTTGCACACTTCTTGTTAACCTGTCTACATTTGTCAATCAAGACTGGGTTCTTGACTCTGGCGCTTCCACCCACCTCACTCCGGATGGCAACAATCTTCACTACCCTGAGGCATACCACAGTTCTGACCTTGTCTCCATTGCCAATGGCACTTCGCTCTCCATTCAAAATTCCGGACAAAGACTTAATTCTTCCCTTACCCAACACACCTAGTAAGCTTCATCTTCACAATCTCCTTCACGTACCATCACTTACTCACAATCTTCTATCAATCTCCAAACTTATTTTTGATAATTCAGTTTCTATTAGTTTCGACGCTAACGATTTTTTCATTAAGGAGGCTTCTTCATGTGTGGGTTGACCCGGCAACCCGTCGGGTCAACCCGAACCCGACCCGTTTTTCAAACTCTCTCATATTGACAGCCCGGATTTTTCGGGCCGGGTTCGGGTCGGATTTTCGTGTCGTGTCAAATATTGACAGCCCTACACTAAATGATCATTGTTGATTGTGTATCTATATACACATACTCAAGCTATGTGCTAACCTTGTTTTCTTTTTTATTTACACTACAAAAGAAAAAGGTCAATTGATGCACATAAATATGCCTTGAGAAAGACCTAGTACAATACAACTACTATTAAAAAAAGAGATAATTGTATTACATAAGTAAATCACAATATGCTGAAACTACACATTTAAATTCATTTATATCAATGTGTGTGTGCGCGCTCGTGCTTACATATTAATTAGCAAAAATTAGTTACAAATCTTTGAAGGGATAAAATGCTCACTAATGCTTGATAAGCTAAAGTCAAAAATCAAAATAAAACCTAATGAGCCAAAGATCCCACTAAGATACACAGAGTGAAGCAAGAAAAAGAGCAAGAACTAGAATGCTAGAGGCCATCACCCAAAAAAGGCAAAGACAATGCATGAGGAAGTTGTAAAAACAGATGAGGAGACTTTTAAATAATATCACAACTGTAAAATAACTATCATTTAAATACCGATGTATTCATTAATAAGGAATGTAAGAGCATCAAAAAATGTATTTCTTGCTCCAATTTTATGTCACAATAAATTCCTTTAGTACACGTTAATGTTATTTTACAATATCTTTTGAGACATTTATATGACTAATTCCACAAATATTGTAACACAAAATAATAAATAAAAACCATAGAATTATAGGATCCATTTTCACTAAATGTTAGGTTAAATAAAAGCATTTTTATTTAAAAAACCAACAACAAAACTTATTATTCATAGGATTAGAGAAAAATATAAGAGAGCAAAATGATACTTGTGATTTGGAAATGCTACGTGATTAGAAGTTGGCCATGATATTTTTCAATAAAATTATAATTTCATTATATAAAATAAATGGTACAAACTAAAGCAATTTTATACTTACATCAAAGGATCAAATAAAAAAGTTACAATGTGTAATAAAGACAAACGACAACTCCATGAATCCACAAAAAGTAGTTTATGGCAATGAAAGCGAGCAAATAATCAGCTACTAATCATACTTGCTTAGTTTGTAATAAGAAAAATGCTGAAGGGGTGTTAATTAAGAGTTCATTTTAATTTCATTTATTATCATTAATAATATTTAATCTTTTTTTTAATTGGTGGCTACCAATTAACTCTCTTTGTTTTCACACTTAATATGGTGGATTGCTTAATTCAAGATTAATTCATTCATAATTATTTTTTCAAGATTGTGGCTATTAACAACTAGTACCACTGTTCTTTAGTTTGTCATAGTTGCCCCAAGGTTGAGGGCACTCTCTTTCTTAACAACTAGTACTACTGTTAGGTTGTGAAAAGTATAATGGCCATAAAACTAAAGTTTGAGTAGTTTGATGGCTCAAAAAGTTTTTATTTTTATTTTTAAAGAACAATGATATGTAATATGTTTATCTAATAGGGATATGTAAAAGGACTCATGGTGCATAATAGAATACTCAGAATCATGAGTAAATAAAAAAAGATAGATGAAAAATCTTTGTAAATAATTCAGCTGCATTTGATAGATGATATCTTGATAGATGTGAAAAACCTTAAGTTTTTTTAAGGGTTGTAAGTAATAAAGAAATATTGTGGATGAGTTTATTTTTATTTATGTAAATGTTTAGTTGTGGACTCCAAAATTCACAGCCCCTTCTCTTTTCTTCAGGTCATCTGGGAGAGTTTTAACGAGTAAGTTACGAGGAAAATTTTCAGAAGGTAGATTGGGTTTAGCATAAGATATTACTCAGAGATTTCACCCTCATTTTGCAAGGACTTTATAATATGAGTTAAGGTTTCTTATAGGTGCAAGCCCGTATATTTAATTACTCCTCCCGATAACAAAAGAGAACTTT